AGAACGCCGCTGACGGTGGAGACGCAGAGTTTCCCAGTGGAGCGTTCCACTGCTGCACCTATTTCACCGTTAATCAAGAGGACGATGTCACCAAGAGATTCAAGCTCAGGATATTCGTCGAATGCCGAGTACTACATGGAATCACCGTAGTTTCAAGCCGTTTCTTCTGCAGAAAATTTATTCGATTTGTTCCATTTCAGAATCGATCGAGCTGAAGTAGTCCGTCAAAGGATGCAGTACGTAGAAGACCATCCAAGTTCCTATCAGACAAGCTCACCCAGGAGCGAAATCGAATTGGAAGATGATGGAGCCGAAGTGATACGCAGAAGAATGCGCTACGTTGAAGACGATACGAATTCGCTGAAGGATAGCGCTGCACAAACTGACCAAGACAGTCTTGTGGATCATATTAAGGTAAAAACACATCTGGAGTAGTTTCTTCATTAATGGTCTTCTCCTGTGTTTCGTTAGGTTGCATAATCATGCATCAAAATTTTTGCATCCACTCCAATGAAATCTTCTCTTTTAATCATAATAGAAAGAGAAAATCTTGCGCTTCCTGAAGGTGCTCGAGCAAAAATTCTTTGAGGACATGTGACAGCGATACAAGTTGAGAAATCACTCAAAAAGGATTTTCGATTTTTCGTCACTAAATTGCTAAAAGGTCTATTAGAATTTATGATACTCTTTTTGCCTAAGCGAAGTTGGTAGCGATTTATGTCTCTGCGAATAGTTATAGATTTCAACTTTTGAAAATTGATTTATTGATTTTATGTTGATTTTCATGTACCATGAAATACTACATCTGAGATGAGTAACGAAAGCATATTTTGTGAACTGATTAGCTCAGTTTAAACATTTCTGAAACAAATTTATTTTTAGTGCAAGAATTGCAACCTAATATAAGCTTTGTTTCAGGTCCTTGATGATGAAACATGGGCTGGAATGGGGCTATCCGCCGTTGAACATATAGATCGAGTCCTTGAAGAAGTTGATTTGAACTAACCAATACAAGTACACTATACCAGTCACGTACATAACCAGTGACATTTTACACATTGCAAAAGCTGATACTTTTACGACTACTAACTTGATCATTATTTTTCATTGGAGCTATGCCTACCAAACTGTTCATTTTCCTCATAAAGCATTTCACTTATTCTTTTTGATAATGGCGTTGCTGCAATGCATCCATCTTTCTGTATATCATTCCACTCTCTCATTTTGTTGTTTTTGGATATCCTATAAATGAAAGTTTTGTACCAGTCATTATTGTTACGCATATCGTAATCGCATATAAGTGCTCAAGCTTGCGTCTGCACCGGATTTCGGTGGGCAATCATCTCTTTGCCGTAAGCAATGTGGCAGAACACTTTATTTTACATACTACAGTGTTCTACGACTAGGCGATACTCCTAGCAATACCCGCGACTGAGTACTCCATTCCGTCTTTTCAGCATTTGCAGATGCATAAAATTCTAGCACCCAATCACATGTACAGATGAGAATTTCGCTTAAAGTTCGTTGGAGAATAATTCACATATTTACGAAGATAAATAGACGGCTTATGCCACACGAAATGGTACATAATAATACTGTAGAAGCAAAGCACTGAATGCGGTGGTTTGAATCGTGAGTAAATTCTCAGATACACTTAAAGGGATTCCACTATGACAAGATCAAATACATAGTGCCTCCTATTGTTGCTGCACGATGCACTAGTTCTGAGAAATAGCAACTAC